CACGCTCCTGGGCCTGACGGCTTCTGCCGAAATTGCTGCACACAGACTGACAGACTGCCTCAACAACAGAAGACAGATCGCACAAGCCACAATCACTTGCGCGGGAAAACCCCCCGCCATCCAACGGAGGGAAAGCACCGGCGGACGAAAGCGAATCATCCGCTGCAGCAGCACGACGACTCTCACCCACAGCAGCCTACGCAGCCGCCGCCACAGAGGACCCCCTGCAGAGCCCGAGGCACTCGCACCAGTCGTTCAGCCAGCTAGCTTGGACACAGTTGAAGAAGCCATATGGCAAACCCCTCACCCAACTGGCATGAGGGATGGAGAGCTAGCTACAGCACTCACCATCTTCCAACCCTGCAAGACTCGGACTGACCCCACAGTCCACAATCGCTTCGGTCTCCTCACACTCTACAACGGCCCTGGCGCATTTGATGCAGATAATAACCCCCTTCCTCTAACCTGGGAGACATATCACGTCACTCACCCTTGGTCCCAACGCACCATGACCACCGAGGAATTCCAACGTCACGAAGTAGAAGAGAGCCGCCGCCGCGCAGACGAAGAAGTTACAACAACAGCAGCCGCAGCTGGGGGTTGGGGAAGCGGAACTGGGGTAACTGGATGGGGAGGCACAACACCTACATGGGGAACACTTCCACAGGAGGAGGACGACCTGATTGACGCAGAAATAACGCACGCCATAGCAGCAGCAACCGCGGAAGCTGCTGGCCCTTACGCCCCCCCACGCCCTCTCGGCATTCCTCCCACATGTACTTCACCCGCTAGTGACTCCTGGGCCTCTTCCACCGACTATCTTACCTTACCACACCTACCCCCGAAGCCCGCTTCCTACTGAGTCCACGCCCATCGGCCCAACCGACTCACCCCAACCCAGTCTCATAGCCACACACACCTTACCGCCACATCACATGCCACAACCCAACCTCCCGGAAGAAACAGCAGATACAGACGACACACCGCTCACTGGCACCACCACAGCCACAACTGTACCCACTGCTCGTGACATCATTATCGCACTTGGACTCTCTATCTCATCACAGCCCATCCTAGAACCGACATCCACAAGCACCGCCGAACTCATAGCCTTTTATGCTTGTTCACCCGCCATTCGCGCCCAACCTGACCTCTGGCACAAACGCCTCGGTCATCCCTCCCAAGAAGTTCTTAGCAACTGCATTCGCGCGCAAGTCTTCCTTCCCGGGACCCTGCTTCGCCCTGACGGAACACCTGTTCCCGTCACCACCACTCGTCGCACCGACTGCACCATCTGCCCTGAAGCCGCACGAACTCAACAGCCCTTCAAGCTCCTTGAGCTCGGCACAAACCGCTACGAGAAACTTCAAAAAGTCTACAGTGACTTCCTCGTTCTCACCCAGACTTACATCAACGGCGAAGAATACACCCTCACCTTCGTCGACGCTCACTCTCGCTTCGTTTGGGCGGCCAACGTCTCTCACAGGAGCAAGGCATTTGACATCTTCAAAAGTTTAGCACGCCAACGCAGAGACTCAGTCCGACTGCACCCTCAAACTCTGGCAAACCGACTGCGCCGCGGAATTCAAAAGCGACAAGCTCGTGACGTACATCCAAGAAAAGGGGATCGTCCACACGCTATCCCTCCTATACGCACATCCCCAGCAAGGCGTCGCGGAACGCACCAACCGCATGCTCATGACCAAGGTTCGCGCCCTACTACAGCAAAGCGACATTGACATGAAATACTGGCCCTACGCCACGCACCACGCCATCCGTCTCCACAACCAGCTCAGCACCACCGCCAACACCGACAACCTCTCCCCACACCTCACGTTGACCATCAAACAGGGCGATGTCTCCATGCTCCGCGTCTAGGGTGCATGGTTCAGTATCGGCCAGCAGTGGCGACCACAGGAAAGTTTGAACGTCGCGCTCGCTGGGGCGTACACCTTGGCATCAGCCTCGAACACAATGCCTGGAACATCCTCGACCACGATACCTCACGGGTGGTCGCGACGCGCGAAGTCATCTTCTACGAAGAACTCACTGTTCGCAAATTCCAGTGCGACCGCCATGCTGACCGCACCAGAGGAGAACACAACATCGCGAATTACGATCGACCACCGCGCAGCTTTGCCACACCTGACGACGAAGCGGAAGCAGCGCTCGCAGAACAAGACCCAACGGATCCCCATCCCGGTCCCCGCCCATGGAGTGATGATGACGAAGACGAGGACAGCGCTCCCCCCGACTCCTCGCGTGACTCTCTCCTCAGCCCGACCCACACCAGCGGCCACAACTCTGACGATGACGTAGTGGAAGTCACCAGCGATCAGCGGCACAGCCCAGGCCTCTCTGGCCTCCACATCCTCGGCCTCCTCACTCTCCTTTCTCGCCCGCCGAAGGCCGTTGAACCCAAAACCCCGCGCCAAGCCCTCACTTGACCCCACGCTAAGGAGTGGCGCGTCGCAATGGATGCCGAAGTTGCCGCACTCGAGGCCCGCGACACATGGGTTCTCGCCGACCGCGCAGCACTGAAGGGGAGACGCGTCCTCTCGGGCAAATGGGTCTTCCGCGTCAAAACCGCTGCTGACGGCACCATCGAACGCTTCAAAGCGCGTTGGGTCGTACGTGGCTTCGATCAGCGCCATGGCGTCGATTTCGACCAGACCTTCACACTTGTTAGCCGTCACACTTCCGTCCGCATCCTCCTCGCCATCGCCGCCGCCAAGAATCTCCCCCTCCGTCAGATTGACATTAAAAACGCCTTCCTCTACGCACCCGTGGATGCCCTCATCTTCGTCGAGCAACCTCACACGTACGGCGACGGCGACAATCGCGTGTGTCAGCTCCGAAAATCCCTTTACGGCATCAAGCAAGCACCACGACTCTGGCAGCAACACCTTCATCAAATTCTCCTCGACATTGGCTTCATCCAGCTGCCTCACGACCCCGGCATGTACCGCATCCACTATCGCGGCGATTACGTTCTTCTCACGGCATATGTGGATGATCTGCTCTACACAGGCACCAGCAACGACCTCCTCACAAAGTTCGAGAAAAACCTCAGCAATCGCGTCGAAATCACCAGCAACCACACGGTGTCCCAATTCCTGGGTCTCAACATCTCCTACGCTACCGACGCCATCCATCTCTCCGCAGCAAAGTACGCCGAAACTCTCTCCGCCAAGTTCAACATCAAGCCAGCCAACTTCTCCACTTCTGATCGCACCTAAGCAACCATACCACCATCCTCACCAACCCGCTCAACCCCTCCGCACACCAGCTGTACCAGCAGCAACTCGGCTGCCTTCTCTTTGCTGCCGTCACGTGCAGGCCTGACTTGTCCTACACCTCAAGCCAACTCACTCAGTATGCCAGGCCTGAAGGAGAGCATATGCTGGATCTACAGCGTGCCCTGCAATGCTTCATCTCCACACTGCACATTGGCCTCACCTACTCCACCCTCACGACTCGCTCATTCAGCCTCGTTGGATACGTGGACGCAGATCACGCCGCCGACCCTGCAAATCGACGGTCCCGAACCGGCTTCCTCTTCCGCCTCGAGCCCACCGGTCCCATTTCCTGGAACTCCCAGAAGTAAGAAATGGTAGCGCTCTCCTCTGCCAAAGCCGAATTCATCGCTGCCATATCAGCCGTTCGCGAAGGTCTCTACCTCCAGGAGCTACTCCAGGAGGCGAAAATTGCGACGTCCGCGAGCTTCAAACTTCACTGCGACAACCAAAGCGCAATCAAAATCGCGAACAAGCCTGGCTTCGTCAACCGCACCAAGCACATCGCACTCCGCTACTTCTTCGTCAAAGACGAAGTTGACAAAGGCAAAGTCATCTTGACTTACTGCCCCACTGGTGACATGGCAGCCGATTTCCTCACCAAGAAGCTACCACGTCAGCAGTATCACCACTGCGGAAACATCTGCGGCATAACCAAGCGCGTCAAGTCTTCGCCACTCCAGGAATGAAGTGGAGTGTTACGATGTGGAATAGTTGAGCAAACATTCCTAAGTAACGAATTCTTAACGGGAAGATGACTGCAGCGAGGATGAAAGACCAAGCGACAAGACAGTTATCGAAGACAGTTACAAGCAGGAAGAACTCGGAATGAAAAGAGCGGGAAAACTTCAAACGGTTACCGGACCACATACGGTCCTCGAATCGCACGGTTGTAAACCTGCAACTAGATTAGCCCTAAGGGGAATGTACCCCCTCAGAGTACATGGCTAGCTAGGACCTTTCGTATTCCACTGTATTCCTATATAAACCCTTGTACCGCATTGTATTAGTCACTTCTGTCGAGATTCAAATCTCCCTCTTCTACAGAGTCCGTACCCGACATTACCTAGCAATCTTCCGCTGCTACACTTCCGTGCGATCAACCTGAGACGATCCTATAAGACGGTTCAGATTGTATCACCAGGGCTTACTGATTGCATGTTTTTCTATTTTGGTAGACGAATATTCTAGCAGGCTTCTCGCTTTTATTGCCGATTTGTTAACCGTTATTTCTTGTACATGTCCCTTTCCGGAAATCAGTCTTTATGGCGGATCCTTCCTTTCCCCACAACCTCACTTCCCTCGCTGCCTCCCCTCCCGCGCGTTCAGTTCATGACCAACCGACTCAAGCGCTGTCGCAAGCCGTGACGTGCCACTACCTCCACAGCAGCAACCGTCGTCGCCTCAGTAAGGATTTTAGTGTTAGTTCCGTACCTGGTAACGGTGTGAAGTTCAGCATAAGCAGCGAGACAGCATTAGCAGCAGCAGCCAGTGCAGCCCCAGCTCAGCAGCAGCAGCATTTAATTATCGTTCCGACCTCGTAACGGCACCGACAGGAGCAGGCATCATGCGGTACTTGGCGTACTTCATGCACCGCCACCTCGACCTCTGAGGCGCCTCAAAGGAAGCAACAGCATTCCATTATCTCACCTACCTTGTCATCTCACCTACCTGGTAGTAACGCCACTGAAAGGAGCAGGCACGATGTGGTACCTGGCGTATTTCATGCACCGCCACCTCGACTTCCGCCTCGACGAGCTGCAGTCGCTCGCCGTCCTCGCTGGCGTGCAGCCGGCTCAGCACGATGACGTGGAATTGCGCCCGCCTGCCAGCTCGGCTTTATCTGAGGGAGAGCGGGGCGGAGAGAAGGGAAACGAAGGGGAGGAGTTGGTTGAGGAAGTGAGTGGAGACGAAGGCAGTGAGGAGACGAGGAGGGGAGAAGGGGGTAGTGAGATGAAAGGAGAAGAGGAGGACGAGATATCAGGAGGAGGGGGAAGCCAGTGGGAGCCTGTAAGATGGAGGAAGCCACATGGCGATCACATGGACTCGCCGTTTTTCTACGTGGATCTGCCGTCTGATGACGTGGCGAGGCAAATGGCCGCTAGAAGTGAGTTGGCGAAGTCGAAAATAGCCGCTAGGTGCCGAATAGATTAGGCTCATGTCAACAGCCACAGCTTTGGGAACGCATGGCCTTCTATTGATGATACAATGGCTTCCTTATGTGCACGGATGCCTGTTATTCCGAAGCTTCAAGGTCCCGACTCCCGGCGTCCGGAACCCAGGCCAGTTGAGAGGTCGACCTATAAAACCCTCCAGCCGCGAGGAGGCTTTTCCGCTACTAGGGTTTAGCGACTAGCACGTCGAGGTTCAGGGTTTAGGCGAACAGAAGGCGAACCTCTAGTGGCGCGGACGAGGGACGAGAACTGTGGTTGAACGGCGGGGTTTCCAGCTTGCAGGGTTCAGGGTTTTTTATTTGTCTATTGGGGTTGGGGTTTCGGAGGTCGGATGGAAACTTTGGATTGGCTGACGCTGAATCAACTTCCATACGCCTTCCCTCGTGCCATGGTTCCTCGTTCCTGTTCCCATCTTGGCCAATCCATGAAGGGCACTTAGCCCCCCAACATCACAAGCACTCTTTGCCTTTTCCTGCTAAACGCGTTCTTTACACGCTTCCCACTCCTCCCTTCCTACCTTCACACCACACCCACCGTTTTCTCAGCCCGTGGCACTCCCTCCCTTCTCCCACCCTCTCTACTTCCCCCCCCACCTCAACTCCCACTCCCATCATCCTCCTGTCCTCTCCCCTTCCTTCTCCACCCTCCCACCCCCCTGGCCTGCTTATAAAGGGGATATTCGTCATATGGCGGAGGCGCCAACCTACGAAGAGTTAAAGCCGCAGGTCGAGGCGAACATCGCGACCAAGATTTCGCCCTTCACAGCCCTCGGCTCCATGTTCGAGATCGTTGTTGATGTGATCCCCACGCCTACCCTCTTTCTCTCTCCCTACCCTCTTTCTCTCTCCCTACCCTCTTTCTCTCTCCGTTTCCTCTCTTTCTCTCTCCGTTTCCTCTCTTTCTCTCTCCGTTTCCTCTCTTTCTCTCTCCGTTTCCTCTCTTTCTCTCTCCGTTTCCTCTCTTTCTCTCTCCGTTTCCTCTCTTTCTCTCTCCGTTTCCTCTCTTTCTCTCTCCGTTTCCTCTCTTTCTCTCTCCGTTTCCTCTCTTTCTCTCTCCGTTTCCTCTCTTTCTCTCTCCGTTTCCTCTCTTTCTCTCTCCGTTTCCTCTCTTTCTCTCTCCGTTTCCTCTCTTTCTCTCTCCGTTTCCTCTCTTTCTCTCTCCGTTTCCTCTCTTTCTCTCTCCGTTTCCTCTCTTTCTCTCTCCGTTTCTCTCTTTCTCTCTCCGTTTCCTCTCTTTCTCTCTCCGTTTCCTCTCTTTCTCTCTCCGTTTCCTCTCTTTCTCTCTCCGTTTCCTCTCTTTCTCTCTCCGTTTCCTCTCTTTCTCTCTCTGTTTCCTCTCTTTCTCTCTCCGTTTCCTCTCTTTCTCTCTCCGTTTCCTCTCTTTCTCTCTCCGTTTCCTCTCTTTCTCTCTCCGTTTCCTCTCTTTCTCTCTCCGTTTCCTCTCTTTCTCTCTCCGTTTCCTCTCTTTCTCTCTCCGTTTCCTCTCTTTCTCTCTCCCTACCCTCTTTCTCTCTCCGTTTCCTCTCTTTCTCTCTCCGCTTCCTCTCTTTCTCTCTCCGTTTCCTCTCTTTCTCTCTCCGCTTCCTCTCTTTCTCTCTCCGTTTCCTCTCTTTCTCTCTCCGTTTCCTCTCTTTCTCTCTCCGTTTCCTCTCTTTCTCTCTCCCTACCCTCTTTCTCTCTCCGTTTCCTCTCTTTCTCTCTCCGTTTCCTCTCTTTCTCTCTCCGTTTCCTCTCTTTCTCTCTCCCTACCCTCTTTCTCTCTCCGTTTCCTCTCTTTCTCTCTCCGTTTCCTCTCTTTCTCTCTCCGTTTCCTCTCTTTCTCCACACTCCTACCCTACCCCCCAGGTCTGCTCATTAAGGGGATGTTCGACATATGGGCAGAAGAGGCGCCTATACGAGGCCCTAGAGCCGCAGGTTGAGGCGAACCTGACAGGCAAGGCGGTGCCATTAGCGGGCCCGGGCTCCACGTTCAAAATGGTGGTGGATGGCTTTGGCAAGATCTTAACCTTGTTCTGTTCTCCACCTCCTCCACCTTCCATCCCATCAGGTCTGCTTATAAAGGGGATATTCGACATATGGGCAGAGGCGCCAACCTACGAGGCCCTAAAGCCGCAGGTGCAGGCGAACCTGACAGCCGAGGTGCGGCCGTTTGTGGGCCCGGGCTCCACGTTCAAGATGGTGGTGGACGGCCTTGGCAAGATTCCCCAACCTACCCTCCTCTTCCTCCTTTTTCCCTCCCTCTCCAAACCCCCACCCCCCCAGGCCTGCTTATAAAGGGGATAGTCGACATATGGGCAGAGGCGCCAACCTACGAGGCACTGAAGCCGCAGGTTGACGCGAGCCTGACATCCAAAGTCACGCCCTTCACAGCCCCGGGTCCACATTCAAGACGGTTGTTGATGGCTTTGGCAAGATCTTCCCCTCGTTCTCCACCCCCCCACACCCCTGCCACCCTCCCAGGTTTGCTTATAAAGGGGATATTCGACATATGGGCAGAGGCGCCCACCTACGAGGCATTGAAGCCACAGGTGGAGGCGAACCTGGAGAGCAAGGTGGTGCCGTTTGTGGGCCCGGGCTCCACGTTCAAAATGGTGGTGGACGGCTTTGGCAAGATCTTCTCAATGGACGAGCAGAGGGAGAGGATGGAACGATTCACATACATCCCCTTCCAGGTGAGTGCGTTCCACATTCTGATGCTGCCCTTGGCTTGGACCTTCTTTCTCAGGCCCTTGCCATTTTTTGCCCCTGGCTCGTATGCCAAGATGGTATAGCGGAGCACGGCTTTCGCAAGATATTCTCCATGGACGAGCAGCGGGAGAGGATGGAGCGGTTTGCTTACATCCCCTTCCAGGCGGGTGGGTGAGGTGGGTTCGCCCTGGCTTGCTTGGCTTTCGCAAGATTTTCTCCTTGGACGAGCAGCGGGAACGCATGGAATGGAACGATTCGCTTATATGATCATATCCCCTTTCAGGTGAGTCAGTGGGTGGGTGGGTATTTCAGAGGCTCTTGCGCGGCGTCGCCCTGACCTCGTCTGCCCAGCTGGCTATGGCCTGCTGGGGATCTAAGAGGATATTCTCTCTCCTTGTGCCGACGGACACCATCCTCTTCGCCGGGGTCAGCATTGGGTGATACAGCTGGCAGCAGGCAGCAGCAGGCAGCAGCGAGACCTCCCCTCCTTACCCTCTGTTTCGCCTGCCCTGTTTCGCTTTGCCATGGCAGGGCCGAGTGAAGCTGAGCTCGCCCGGCTACAAGCTATGGTGATAGAGCAGGCAGCAGGCTGCACCAACAACGGCCTTTACCCATGCACCCGACGCACCTCCGCCCCTCAACCTTTCCGCCCCTCAACCTTTCCGCCCCTCAACCTTTCCGCCCCTCAACCTTTCCGCCCCTCAACCTTTCCCCCCTCTCGCCCTGCCCTCATTACCTTCTGTTTCCCCATTGCTCTTGCCATGGCAGGGCCGGGTGAAGCTGAGCTCGCCCGACTACAAGTATTGGGTGATAAGAGCAGGCAGCTGCACACGACACCAACAGCAACCCCCTCCGTCTCCCCACCCCCTCCGGCTCCGTTTCTGATATTCGCCCTTGCTCTTAACTTGGCAGGGCAAGGTGAAGCTGAGCGCGCCCGATTACAAGTTCTGGGTGATAAAGCAGGCAGCAGAATGCACCAACAACACCCGCCCCTCTCTGCCTATCCTCCTTATCCTCGATGTTTCCTGCCCGTCCTCCCTTTAACTTGGCAGGGCAAGGTGAAGCTGAGCGCGCCCGACTACAAGTTCTGGGTGATAGAGCAGGCAGCAGAATGCACCAACAACGGCCTTCCCCCCAACATGCCCTTGCGCGTGTTCATTGGCCGAGAGGTGCGTGTGGGGGAGGAGAGGTGAGTGTGGGGAGGAGAGAGGTGCGTGTGAGGGGGGGAATGTGGTGTACGCAGGTTGCATTGTAGCATGCAAGGTTCAAAATTACGGTTTTCGTATTTTACAGTCCGTTTTTTACGGTAATTTTCCAAAAAAACGGTGTTTTTTTGTTGGAGAACTGTTGTCACCAAGAAAAAAAAGGGGAAAACAAGGTTGTAAACATTTTCAATCATGCCCACAAGCGCACTCATGCAAAGAGGGTTTCGTCCTCTTCATCCTGGTACCTTTTGCCATCGATTTGTTCCCACACATCAGCCATTTTTTTCTTCAAACAAAAACACCTCCTGGAACCGTTTTAAACCGTTTTTTACGACCGTTTTTTACGGTACCGTTTTTTACGGTAAAATTTCAATAATACGGTCGTTTTTTTGAACCTTGGTAGCATGCATGCAGGCCACACTCCCATCCCATCCCATGTAAGGTCATTCGTGGTGTAAGGACGCTCAAACCTCCCGTTCTGGGTTTTGGGATTTCCACCCTGTCGCATTGTTTCATCTCTCATCACGGATTATTACCTTCTCGGCCATGAGACGCTGAGCTGGTGCTGCTTGCCGCACTCCCATGCACTGACTCACTTGCTGGATACCTCCCCAGCTGCTGCTTGCTCTGCTCCCCCCTCCCTCCCCCCCCACCCACAGGTGGCAGTATCAGACCGCACAGTGGCCGCCAAGTACGAGCGCACTCGCTGGCCCGGCAGTACCTGGGCCCTCCCACCCCACTCTACTGTCTCACACCACACGTTTCCCTCCTTCCTCACATATTCCCCCCATCCATCCCTTGGATGCTGAGCTGGCGCTGCTGAGTTGCTGCTTGCTGCCCTCCCCCTGCACCGACTCACTGCCCTTCATTCACTGCCCATCTTTCCTTCCTCTCCCTCCCCACCCACAGGTAGCAGTATCGGACCGCACAGTAGCAACGAAGTACGAGTTGAGCCGCCGGCGCTACCTGGGGCCCACCGCCATGGATGCTGAGCTGTCGCTGCTCATGGCCAACCAGGCGCTGGCACGGCGCGGGGCCCTCATGTACGACCCGTTTGTGGGCACTGGGAGCATTCTGGTGGCAGCGGCACACTTTGGTGCTGTCACTCTGGTGAGCGGGTGACGTGCATCATTCAGAGAGTGACGTTACTTATGGGTGGTGCGGCACGGCTAGGGGATGTGATGTGAGTAGTGCGCACACACACACACCCATCCAGTCTCCTTACCACACCTCGACCCCTCACTCCCCCCCCTCCCACCACTGCCAGGGGGCGGACATTGACGTCAGAGTGGTGCGGGACGGCAAGGGCCCCCATTGACTCTTGAGATGACTCAACAGTCAACTCGCCCCCATTTCCCCACCCGCACCCCTCCTTATTACCACCCCCAGGGAGCGGACATAGACATAAGGGTGGTGCGGGATGGCAAGGGCCCCAATCGGGACGTGTGGGGCAACTTCCACCAGGTGAGCGTGCAGTGCACGCCGACTGTATGAGTATTGCGGGCATTGTGAGCCATGTGTGCATTAGGTGAGTCAACTCTGTAGCCATCGCCACGCTATGGCTCCTCTCCTCCTCTTCTTCCGTTTTGCTGACCCGTCCTCCCCATTTAGTCATTCCTAGTCTCTCCTTTCCCCTCATTCCTTTGCCGCCCTTTGTTCTCTCTTCTTTCCTTTCCTTCTGTCGCCTCCCTTATTCCCGCCGCTCCGTCCCTACGACCTTCCGTCTCCCCATTCTCCCGTGCTGTACTCGCCCCAGCCACTAGTGGGATTGCTGCGAGCAGGCAACAACTGCCCTCCCTGGAGGCAGTAGCAGTGGGCTTACCGCACCTTTGCCCTCTCCCCTCTCCCCTCTCCTCCCCTCTCCTCCCCTCTCCTCCCCTCTCCTCTCTTCACCCTTCTACCCCTCCCCCTTCCCTCGCCCCTCTCCTCCCGTGCAGTACTCACTCCAGCCACCAGTGGGATTGCTGCGAGCAGACAACAATTGCCCTCCCTGGAGGCAAGACCTACGAGAGGTGCGTTTTGGAGGCGCCTCAAAACTGCGACAAGTTTTTAAGGGGGTTCAAAAATGAGACGCTTGCAATAGTTCCCTACTTCACCTTGGCTTCGGGACCCCCTTATGTGCTCCCTTCTCCGAAATTGATCTGTAATCCCCCCTGCTGCTCCTCCCTACGGCCATCGTGGAGGCAGTCGAAACTCCGAGGGCATTCAATGCTTTGCTTGCTCCCTTCCTTTCCCCAGACCCCCAATAGTATATCTATATGTTCTTCTTTCCCGTGGTTTCCTCTCTTCCCTACGGCATCGTGCAGGCAGCCGAAACTCCGGGGTCATACAACTTGACAGCAATGCTGTGTTTGATTCCTTTCTTCACCCACCTCCCAAATACGTATCCACATGTTCCTCCCCCCGTGGTTTCCTCCTCCATCTCCAGATGTTCCATGCCATCATCTGTGATCCTCTCTATGGGCGTCATTGCAGGCGTTTGAATGTACAATGTTTGATCCCTTCCTTCACCCATCCACCCCCTAAATGTATATCTGTATGTTCTTTTTCCCCCTTGGTTTCCTCCTCCATCCTTAGATGTTCCATGCCATCATCTGTGATCCTCCCTACGGCGTCCGGGCAGGCGGCCGAAAGTCGGGCGGGAGGAAAATTCTCAACGGGGTGACGGACCCGTACTCGATAGCAGACAACCTGAAAGCTGCCCACATCCCCTCCACCGCCCCTTACTCCCTCGAAGAGTGCCTCCACGATCTTTTAGACACGGCTGCCCGGCTGCTCGTGATTGGTGGGCGGCTCGTTTATTTTTACCCTGCTGCCCGAGAGGAGTATGTGCCCGAGGAGATTCCCGGGCATCCGTGCCTGAAGCTGGTTGCTAATAGTGAGCAGATTCTCACGAAGCGGTGGAGCAGGCGGCTTGTGACTATGGTGAAGGTTGCTCCGTACAGCGATGACATGGCAGCTGCACACGTGGCGGCGCATGAGTGGTTCAGAAAGAAGCAGATTGAGGAGAGTAAGATGATGAGGGAGATGGGAGAGGCAGGGGAGGTGAGGGAAGGGGAGAATGAGGAGAGTAGGGATGGGGATGGGGAAGCGGGTAAAGGGGGAGGTGGCAAGGGGGTGAAGCAGGGAAAAGGGGATAAGAAAGGGGAGGGAGAGAGAAGATCAGGGAAGAATTTTCATGACTTGGTGTTTGCATCGCGTGCAGATGAGGTGGCAGGGATTCACCAGCAGGCCTCGGTGCGAGGCATGAGGGATGAGAAGGGAGAGGAGGGAGGACGGGGCACAACGAATGGGGTGCCTCATAGATTATCGCGCAAGGCGGCGAAGCAGGCATCCAGACCACTGTATCGCGCCAAGTGTGTGTGATGGATGGTGGGAGCAGTGATGGTGGATGATTATGTAGGCAGAGTCACTGGCAGCTTGGGTCTATGCCCATGAGGGTATGGAGGGAGGGGCACAGCGAATGCACTGCCTTGCATTTCTAGAAAATCTTATAACTGATTGTAACAACAAGAGTGTTTTACGGTATGTGATTCATAACCTGGGAATATCCTTGTTGACTACCGCGTTTTTTATGTCGTTGAACGCGATGCTTGCGTTGGAGATTCCCGAATACTCTGACCAATCAGACATCGCATTCATTGCACCAGGATTGGGCGCACGAAGTTGACTAGATCGGCTTGAAAGGACATCCACGACTCACTGACCAACACGTGGTTGTGCCACGGCGTTCACGTTGGCGGTTCTGTAGTGTCCGAGTGAGGAGATGTGCGATGCGAAAGCTCAATTGACAGCTCTGTTTTTTTTTTTTTTTTTGGCAATGCAAGTTACACTATAGTAGCGCATACAAGCATTAACAGTCGTAACTGTAGCTGATGGGCCTAGACAGCAGCCTGCCATCGTACCCATCCTGACAACTTAAGGGGGATGGAAAATCGTGCGCGGATTGGTCCAGATGGAGGTGAAGCCACTGGTCCACGCAAGCGATTTTGCCGAGTTGTCACAGATCCTGCTTACCATACGAAATTCGTCCGGGTCCAACCGCTCTAGGATAGAACGTTGCCCCGGCCCCAGCATGCCTCCTGCCCGTTTACTCCTCTTTTTCCCCCGCAGGTAGATCCTCGCGTGAGTGTAAAAAGCTGCCGCAATCCTTCGCAGCACCCTCCTGGACCGAAACCTCCCTTTCTCAAAAGCCGCGTCACACCTTTCCACCCAGATCTTATGTAGAGTAATAGCTGTGATTGTAGATTCTGGGAAGCCCGAACTCGAGCCCTCCTTCTGATACAGTAAATCCCCCAGCGAGGTGATTTTCCTGCCCGGGTTGATAACCCAAAGGGCCTTCAACAGCCCCTGCACCACTGGCTGGATCCGAGGGCAGCTGAACAAACAGTGCTCCGCCGTCTCCTCCTCTCCGCAGTGCGGGCACGCCACCTCCTCCAGGAATTGTAGTCTCACCCCAACCTGAAGGTTACGACAATGCAGGCGAAGCAAGACATCACGGGCTCGGTTCGGAAGCACCGCGGAGTCCCGCACCCTGATGACTCTCTTCCAGTCAATCACCATCCCCCACTCTTCCGACCACTTCTCTTGTTGCCGCATCTCCCCTTGCTGTGCGCCAAAAAGCAGCTTCAGTTGCCTGAGGGGGGGGAGCTGGTCGTCCATGCAGAGCTCCGAGCAGCGCAGCCGTACCTCGGGCAGGCCACCCGCTCCAATCACCCTTCCGCCTCTCACCATCAACGGCTCCACCTTGTCTAGAGCAAGAACCGCAGTTGCCTCCGCCACTCCTTCCCGAGGCACAGCTAACCAGTCACATGCTCGGCAGACAAGGCCCTCCTGCACCACTTTCTCTGCTTTCCAGACCCCCGCCAGGCCCTTCTTCTTCACAAAGGCCGACTCTGCCATAAGCTCCTCTCCCGTAATCGGCGCTGTCAGCTTCTCTTTCCAATCATCCGGGACGCTAGCAAAAACTTTGAGCGCCCGTCTCGCTTTCTTGCGCGTGCCCAGTTCCTTCGTTAGCAGCTTCTCGTCTTTGAAGAAGAGGACACCGTCTTCTGCCCGGCCAACAAAATCGCCAAGCTTCAAAAGTTCCAGCCCCTTTGCCGCTTCCTGCCGTCCGAGCGGTTTCTTTCCATTCGGCAAGATCCGCCGATTGTACACCAGCGGCTCCTGCGCAATGTCCCAGCGCGAGACCGGGCCTTTTCTTGCAACACTCGACCGCATAAACATTTCGCAAGTCTGCTTCCATGTGACACTTTTTCCTTCCCATGTTTTCAGGTACTCCGGATGCGCCCAGAAGGAGCGGAAACCAGCAGGGAGGTCAGCAGCCTTTGTCGCCAGCCAACTGCGCACGCCGCTACTGACCAACACCAGCTTCCCTACCCTCCTGGCAGCCAGGCCGCTGAGCTCCACGAACGGGTCTCGCACCCCCAGCCCGCCATCTTTCCGAGGTCTGAAAATCAGCTCTCTGCTCCAGAGCGTGAAGTGGCGCTCCGTCGACGCTTTATTGCCCGAGATAAAATTGACCAGCAACTTCATGATCCGCTTCCATACACTGTCTGACGGAGGGTAAACTTGCCCTTGGAACGCCAGGATCGGGCATATGTAGGCGTTGACAACCGCCACCCTTGCCGTCGTCGTTAAGTGGTGGGATTGCCATTTCACCAACTCCTCCGCCGCCCTTGATAACGCCTTATCCCAGGTAACTTCCGCACTACCGGATGGGGACACCCAGACCCCCAGCAGCCTTTCCGCTTCCTTTGGATCGACCCATGCGTAGTCTGACCCCTCGCTCTTCTTCTTTTCCAGGTTGGCCCCCAGCGGGAGCAGCGCCGACTTGTCCTTGTTAACCCAGAGGCCAGATCGAGCACCAAACTCCTCCAGCAGCTCCTCTGCTCTGCCAATCTGCCTCGTCCCCTTCAGCACGAGCGTTGTGTCATCCGCGTACCCCAGGTAGGCCAGTCTGTCGCCCCGATCATCACAGACCCCTAACCTCCTGCGTTTTGCCTCCTGGCAGATCGGCTCCACCGCGCACAGAAAGAGGTACGGGGCCAGCGGACAGCCTTGACGTACCCCCTTACGGACATCCACCCGATCTCCCAGCCAACCATTCACCAGCAGTCGGGTGAAGGAGCCGTCGTGCAGCCCCTCACACCACTGGATAAATTTCCTTGGGAAGCCCATCAGCGCCATCGTGTCAAACAGGAACGTACGTGACACGGAGTCAAACGCCTTCTGAAAATCAATCATTAACAGGTACCAGTCTTCACTGTCATTTCTCGCGGCCTCTATCACATCAGCAACCGTCGACACAGCATCCGAGAGCCGCTTGCCTGGTAAGAAACCGTGCTGCTCTTCCGATATGACCGTACCCAGCACTTGTTTCATGCGATTAGCCAGCACTTGTTTCAGCTCGACAGCAAGGTGATCGGTCGGTAGTTCTGCACCTGCTCTTTCGGCCCCTTTTTGTGCAGCAGGATGGTCACCGCCTCCTGCACTTCCTCCGGAAGAACCGCCGAGGATTCAAACTGCTTAACGAAGCCCATGAAATCCTCCCTCAGCAGATCCCAGTGGCGTTCGAAAAGCTCCTTCGGTAGACCATCGCCGCCCGGTGACTTATCGCACGCCATTTCATTTAACGCCTTTTTCACTTCATCCTCTGACCAGTCCGCCTCTAACTCAGTTTTCTCCTGCTCCCGCAGTGTTTTCAGTGGGTCTGGCTTCCAGCACGGCAGGCCCGACGGGGGAGCTTCCGCGAACAGCTGCGCATAGAAACGGGAGGCGGCCTCCAGGATGCCCCTCGTGCCCCTCTGCTCCACCCCATGCGAGGCCAGAACCGTGATCATCGTGCGCGCTTTCTTCGACTTCACCTTCGCCGAGAGAACTCGCGATGCAATCTCACCTTTCGTTTCCTCCTTCACACCCACCAGGAGGTGAAGTCTGTCATTCTCCCCTTTCAGATATGCTGCCAGCTGCGACTCTTTCTCCGCCAGGGTCACCCGGAGGTCATCCCTCTGAGGGTTTCTCATCAGCTCCTGCTGCAAACCGGAAACTGCAAGCTCCAGGTGCCTCAAAGTCGCGCGCACCCGCTTCCGTTCCTCCGCCGCATAGCGCCTTAACGTAGCTTTGAGCTTGGTGAGGAGGCCTCCAAACTGCGTGATGTTTCCGCATGATGCCGCTCAGTGACCGCTTTAATCACTTTCTCCACCCCCGGTTTTGCTGTGTCTGCAGATGGTAGCCGCCAAATGCCTGGACCCACGTGAAGTCTCAGGCTCGCCTGCAGCACCACCTTGATACCACACTTGTGATCCGAGATGCCCCTCAGCGAGCGGGTGTGAACCGCCTCCGCCACCGAAGGGAGCAGCTCCGCCGATACTAAGATGCGGTCAATCCTGGAGCTTGACTTCGTTGCACCCGCATAGAAGGTGTACTCGCGGCCGCTCGGGTTGAGCATCCTGAACGCGTCCACCATGTGCAAGCCGCTGAACAACTGCAGCATCCTGGCGTTTTCCCCAGACGAACCACCCACCGGGGACCTGTCCAGAATCGGGTCTTCCACAACATTAAGATCCCCAGCCAGCATCAGCTTGCCACTGCAGTTCAGCCCCGACAGGAACGGACCCAACTCGTCTCTGAAAAAGGTGACTCTGCTACACGCACTCGCCGGCAGGCAAAGTTGAAAGTGTCCCATCTCACTTCAACATGAATGAGCCTCCCCGAGGCATGCGTCGTGATATTCTCAAATGTTAGTTGCTTGTTGTTGCTGACAACCGCCACTCCACCAGCCCTATCCACATTAGCCATTGCCAGGCAATGGTGAAATTTCAGCCGTTTTCAACATTCATGGTCCGGAGCAACCCTTGTGTCAGTAAGGACGTAAACATCGGCTTCCTTCTTTGTCCACTTTTTCAAGTTCCGTTGCTTGCCTCTACTCCCGAGCCCGTTGACATTGAGCTCGCACACCGACAGCTTGCAGGATTTATCCATTAATCAACCCGGCGAGAGCCCCATAGCATCCACGGGCTGGAGAAAAACATCTGAAACAGAGCGTGTTAACACTATATAACATTGCATACATCACATGTGAGACACGTGCTAACATATACCCCTCCCTCTCTCCTTTGCTTGCAGAATCCATCCTCAGATCCCATATTCCTTGCGCAGCACACGGAGGTTCAACTTGTCTTTGAGCACGCGCGTGGCAGCACCCTGCTTCACCACCCTTCCCCGATGGCGCTGGGAAAGCGCATGATGAGCAGCTTGTTCGAAAGAGGAGCCCTTCGCCTTCTCGCAGCACTCCAGCAGGCAGACCCATTCTTCCCTGTTCCCCGCCGTTGAGACCAGCACCAACGCAGGGTCCTTGAGGATGATCTTGGTTGTCGTCGTGGCTACAGTCGCAGCCGCTGCACGGACGGGAGATACGCAGCTGAAAATGAGAGATCGCCGACAGCAGAAACGAAGCGACAGCGTGAGCGGAAAAAATACGTAAGCAAGAAACACCATCTCTACCGTTGAGCTCCTGGATCCTCCCCACTGTGAGGTTCCACTTCGAGATGTTGTTCTGCCTCTCGGTAACGAAGTCGTTGTGGTTATGCACCGAGTGCATTCCCCCACAGAGAGAACACTTCAGGGCCGGGTAATGCACCAAGATCTTCGTTCCAGGTGAGACCGGGCTTTCGAACTGATGGAGCCACCGAAACTGGTCATTCTCATGAGCCACGACCAACCCCTTCACCCGGTCAGTGTCCAGCCCAGAAACCGGATGCACCACGCGGTGAAAGTGAAAGCCTTCCTTGAAAGCCGGACGCTTGCAGATCTTCAGCGGCGAATTAGCAAGCGCCTCATGCAGCATATCCGGGGAGATTTCCGCAGCAACCCCGAGGAAAAGCACTTCAATAACAGCCGGGTCAGTGATCTTCCTCCTTGTGTACCCTGGATCTTCCGGATAAAGCCAGTCCAGGAAGATATATTTCCCATCAACACACTGGTGCTCGACACGATTACGCCAAACAAAGTTAGCATCAGAAGCAGCGACGAAAATCACTTGCATGCGACCATAAACCCTCTTCGCAATATAACTTGGATCCAGCTCCTGGAAAGTCGTCTTTGCCGCGTGCTTTGTGAGTTCATTCCCCCACATCCCCAGCAGCTCCTTAACGGTCGCCTGCGTACGGCGGACTTCCTGCAAATGGTCACTTGGTATCAGCAGGGTGAGCGGAAACCGAAGCTTCGCTGCCAGATCCTCCTTCGCTTTGTCTTCAAAACACTCCTTCGGATCATGCGCCTGAAGCCCATCATCCTCGTCATCCATGAAGTTATAACGGCGAGTAGCATCAGGTGCGTCGTGATCCTCGTCGCCAGAAGCATCATCATCCGCATCAGAGACAGCATCCTTAACATCCGCATCTTTCCCCTTGCCTTTGTCTTCTTTCCCGCCAGCAGCTTGCTCAATCCTGAGAGCCGCCAGCTTGGCAGACAGCGTCAGCGATTCCGAATCATCCTCTGCGAACAGAGTGCGTGACGACTTCGACGGGACCGCCGTAGCCAACACGGGACGAGCAGATGGACCAGCAGTCGGAGTCTTCAGCGTAGCAGCAGTGGCAGCGTTAGCATCAGGGACCATTCTGTTGACTGGCTTAACAGGCCTCGCTCTAGGAGGCATTGCGCGATGATGATAGAGCCACCAAAACCAGCAAAGTGCTGGAGGAATAAACTGTCTGAGCGCGTTAAGAACTCCTTTGGAGCAGGGTTGTGGAGCCTGACTGACGAAACCAGGGTTCTGGCCGCCTGATGGAAGTTCCTTGTCATGATTTTCGGTGGGAAAAAGGCCTTGGAAACCGCACGCTGACTCAGCTGCTAAAAAAGTACCTAGGTGAACAACATAGATGTTAGAAACTTGAACCAGGCGAGTAAAAGCCTTAGGGAACCTCGAAACAATGTCCTCTGTATGGACACCAAAGTAGTATCGGTGTGTTCCTTGTGATAAGGCGAATTCCGAGAGCTGGTTGTTTGCTTCAGAAACACACCGGAGCACCGACATTGATAGCTCCGAAGTTCCAGGTGGCAGCCATGGCGGTCTCAGGCGGGGAGTCATTGTCATTCAGGTGTTTTCAAGATCAATTGACAGCTCTGGCTCCACGAGGCAGGCAATTTCAGGGGGTGTCACATGTGCGCAAGAACTACGCTGGGCCGTGCTGGGCCGCTGCGGCCTAGGGGCATTTTCGCGGACCAGCGCGGACCAGCACGGACTAGCGAACGGCCCAGGTGTGGACCCGACTTGCACCCGCCCACGGACCAGCATGTACAGTGCGAGGCGCACGTACGAAAACGACGCTCGACACGCAGGACCATTTTCAAAGTGACCCAAGGCGATGGGAATCGCATGCGAAAACTGCGTTTGACTGTTTCGCCAAAAGTATTTGCTGAGTACGACGTGTTGTTCAAGCGTCACCAGGTACACTTTTGTTTTCGTCAACACTTCGTTTTCGAAGCTGCAATGCACTGTGCATAGCTGGTCCGCCGCTAATGGTCCCCGGTACCACGCGGGACCACTTTTGGAAGTGGTCCCTCTAAAATGGTGCCCCCTTGCATTCGCTGGTCCATTTCCTTGTAAATGGATCAGCGCGCAATGTAACACCCCCTCAGAAGGTGGCGCCTGTTACACCTTGTTCCCGATTATTTTACACCTTCTAATTTACACCCCGACTCGGGATCACCAGCAAAGGCTTTGGGCTGCCTAGCTGGCGAACCGTGAGGGATCATTGAACCGAGATGTGCAGAAATGATCAGCTTTTTGTACTGTCAGCAAGCCAGAGAAGTGGGGAAGCTTGGGTCTGTTCGGGTCGCGTTTAAAAGTGTGAACCAAGACGGTTTCAATGTTTGTTGCAACTCTTGAAGTTATAACGACTGGACTGGATTTGCTACAAACACGTGTTACTTTGGGAAAGTCGCGCATGTGTCGAAATTAAACCTGATTGTGAATAACTCCTCAATTTTGGGAGCCCAAAATTTAGATTCGAATTTGTGGTCAGGGTTACGATAAACGCAATCCTGACGTGACTGTTTTTCATTGGATGCAAAGATTTTTCAAGATCGTCAACACTCTCTGGGCCTATTCAAGTCATGTTTCATTCCCTGCCAGCACAGCTGTACCGCGCCTCGATGGTGAAATTATCGGGGACAATATTCGCCCCCTTAATTTCACACCCTTTCGGGCAAAAGAAATCGCGGTTCGGGATTTAGGGCCGTGAAATTATCGAGAACAGAGTGTATTGTTCTGGCGCAACTTGGTTTGATGACTCGGGGTCCTTGTTATTCCATGAATAAACAACTCGTGAAACACGGCCCTATCTTCTTCGAAGAATTGTGTACAGGTTCTCTCACCCCTCGCCACACGTGATATGGTGCTTCTGAAGCTATCCTTTCTTCCCTCGAGCCCCTTCCTCACGCTATCCTCTTTTCTCGCCTGTACAGTACTCATTCTCTGCCATGCTCTTTCCGCTTCATTTCCTCGTTTGAGATTCTCAATCCTAGCTTGGAAGCGAACATTCACATCTCGTGGTAGTCCATTCCGTGGGTGAGCTCAGTTCGGACCGTCTTGTTTGTGACTAGGCGCCATAGTAGACCCTCCCAGTGCACTCCTAGCAGCACAATATTTCAGTTTGCAAAATTCTTAGTAGGCTACCTAGGTAACGTCGGAACCGTCATACGATGTTCAGTGCTTCACTAAGCGGCCATCTTATGCTCCCCTCTACTCTGTGTAGGCGTTTTTCAAGTTCTGTTTCACGTCACCTACGTACACACGACTTCCTGCCAGGTCTGCGCTGAGCTCGCTCGTTCGTCCAGGCACGCTCAGCCCCTAATTGACTTCACGTCAGGTTGTTGCTGTCCGTCTTAAGTAACATGAGTGAACGTTGTTGCATGTCTCTTCATCACACATCCCTAGCTTGTGGTGTAGGCCAGGCTCTTATGCGTAAAAAAAAAACAACTGTATAGTATCTACGTTTGTCAGCCCTTGGGTTGTTTGGTTCACAAAACTTGGGATGTTCCCAGCCCTTGCAGAATCACACATTTCGTTTACTTCACTCATATTTTGTAGCTCTTTTTCCTTGGGGATTGTATTGCGCTAGACCGCTTTAGACCGTGAATTCGAAGCCTCTTTCTTTCATTCTTGTCGTTAGTTGGGCTTACGGTAATTTCCTCAAACCGGTGGTTAGCTCGCTCTCTTAAAGCTCTTTCTCTGGTAAGGTTTTGTAAGCTTGAAGCTTCTTCTTTTATCATAATTCTTATGGATATCTCCTGATACCACCCTGCTGTAATTCCACTCTTTTTCGCATCCTATGAGCGTTTGCCTTCATTTAATCACCACCACCATCCAATTTTTACATGCCACACTGCCACGTTTTCAGAATTGTGCAGAAAAAATGATTTTGAAGTTCATTCGCTGGTAAAAGCGCATGGCTGTCGAAAGGGAAGGGGTAAATGGATTGTTTGGAATGTTGAGAGGGGAGTTGGCCGCAGTTAGGGAGGAGCTGGCAAGGCAAAATGACCGGGTTTATATGCTGGAGAAACGAAACTTTGTTCTGGAGAGTAAGGTCGAATGGTTGAAGCAAGCACTAGATGCTGTGGGAGAGAGGAGTGTGGCTACAGCCGCTTTGGTGGAAAGGGGAGAGGGAGAGCTGGCTGCAGTGAAGGGGGAGGTGATAGGAGTAAAAGCGGAATTAGTGGAAACGAAGGGGAAATTGACTGGGGTCAAAGGGGAGGTGATTGGAGTGAAGAAAATGCTGGGAGGAGTAAAGAACGAGGTAAATGAAGTCAAAAGGCAGTTGACTGGAGTGAAGGAACGGCTGGTGGAGGTGAAGGGCCAGGCGCTGAGAAGCAGCGGCAAGGCATGCGTTGAGAAGCAGTTGATTGAGCTAGGATCAGCAGTGGCTGCATTGCAGAAGAATGGTGTGACTCAGTGGTCTGGTGAAGAGAAGGGCATGGAAGGGGAGGAGAAGGAGAAGGAGAAGGGGGAGCCAGAGGAGGTAACAGCCTTGAAATTGGAGGTTGCTAAGCTGAGTAATCGTGTCTGGAAAGTTGCTGCGGAAGTCGCACGCAGCCACGGGGAAAACAAGCACACATGGGAGGTAAGTGGGACTCATGCCCAGTTATCTTGCTTGTATGTCCCCTCACTTTTCATCACCTTTTGTGCTCTTACTGCTCGGCAGCAGCATGTGTTTGGGCACATGCACACGGACATGCATGACGTCTGTACCACACGTGTGTCTGCCTTTTACAGCGTTTCTCCTAAACCCCTAATTTCGTCAGTATGGCGGACATGCGCCGCAACTCAATCAAACAGTGTCGTGTGTGTTTGTGTGTTTTTTTCTTACAGAGAGCACTGTCAGCATGGAGCAGTCACACACCAGAACGGATCTCGCTGGAGCTGAACAACCTCACCACCCTCTCCAACGCCGCTCTCCGCCACGTGCCCAAGATGACCAACCTGAAAGAGCTCAGCTTAATCGCCTCCTCAGGCTTCGATTTAGCTGGCTTAAAGCACGTGTTCAAGTTGGCAGGGCTGGCGAAGCTAGACCTCCGGTACTCTTCCATTCTAGACGGCCGTACTAAGTATGCACTGGAAGGCATCAGTGCCATGACAGGGCTTGAGGACCTCTGCTTGAGTCACACCAAGGTAACTGATGCCGCCCTGCTGCACCTGACAAGCCTTGCCTCGCTCAAAATCCTGTGGCTGCATAACTGTGGGGGCATTACCTCTGCTGGCATGGTGCACGTGGGGAGGCTGACAGGTCTCGAGGAGCTGTATCTCCGAGGCAGTGGGGTGAAGGACAAGGGCCTGCGGCACCTAACCGCCCTGACCAACCTGAAGGTTCTCTCAGCGCCAACAGAGATATCTGACGCAGGCATGGAGCATGTGAAGCAGCTCACGGGGTTGAGGAGGCTGGAGTTGAAGGACTGTAAATTGGGTGAGAGGGGGATAGCGTGCCTGGAGAGCTTGCCAGGGCTGGAGCGGATTAAGACGAATGTGGATACGCTGCTGGCCCTGGACATTGGTGTGCTTCCAGGGGTGGCGATTGCCAAGGAGCAGTGCATTCTGTTTGAGCGTTGATTTTTGTGATATGAGTGGCGGATTCTGTTTGCCTGGTGTTTTGGGGCGTGATCTGAATGTGGACTGAAAGGTGGCGGATAACAGACAAATGCTGCATGGGTACATGTACCGGTATGTTAAGCACTTCTGTATATGCTATGCACCTGAAAATCACTGATTTTTCCAGGCTGGCTGAAATTCATATACGGTACTAGTGCCTCCCCCTGCTGCAGTAACTATACCGTACAAGCATTGAACTACAGTCAGACGTTAAAGCCCTCGCTTCTTAAGCACTGTTTGTGCGCCTCGATCCACTTGAAGCACGCCTCCTCCCCATGCTCCACAATGCACTCGTCCCTCAGCTTCTTGGTCGTCGGGCACGCACAGCATATCTTCTTCTTCGGCTTCTCTTGAGTCTCTTGCACTGCTGCCTCCACCTTGCCTCCTGCCTCAGCCATCACAGGTGAAGACATGATGCCGCTTTGATGGAGGACCAAACTGGAGGGCACAAGGAAAGGGCAGGGAGAAGGGGGTCAGTGGGGGTCACTCATCCCTCAGCTTCTAGGTCGTCGGGCACGCACAGCATATCTTCTTCTTCGGCTTCTCTTGCGTCGCTGCCTCCGCCTTGCCTGCTGATGCCTCGGTCTTCACAGGTGCTGATGACATGGTGATGGTTTAATGGAGAAGAAAGCAGGAGGGCACAAGAGGACGGCAGGGAGAAGGGGAACAATGGGGTTCAGTGGGGGTGAGTGGTGCCTCTCCGTGTAACTTCTGATGCCTCGGCCTTCACAGGTGATGATGACATGGCGCTGGCTTGACGGAAGAACAAACTGAAGAGCACAAGGGGAGGGCACAAGGGGAGGGGACAAGGGGAGCATCGGATGTGCCGATGTTTCACAGTGGAAAACGGAGGCACCATTGACAGGCATCGGCGGGACCGGCAGGGGCAGGAAGAAAAGGGGATCAACTAGAATTACATCAACAGTGAGCAGGAGACATCATAGCAAGGTTCGCGTGCGTGAGGCACTCGCCTACAGCTGGCCTCTCTGTTCCCTTGCCTGCTGACGCCCCGGGTTGGTTGAAAGGGAAGGGGAGGAGGGGTTGCGTGTGAGGAGCGTAGGCGTGTGAGGAGGGGAGGCGTGTGAGGAGGAGAGGCGTGTGAGGAGGAGAGGCGTGTGAGGAGGGAGCGCACGCGAGAGGAGAGGGCGCACACGCAAGAGGAAGAGCGCACGCGAGAGGAAGAGCGCACGCGAGAGGAAGAGCGCACGCGAGAGGAAGAGCGCACGCGAGAGAAGAGGGCGCATGCGAGAGGAGGGAGCAGAGAGGAGGGTAGGGGGGCAGCAGTTGTGTCGTAACGCGTGGATCGGAATGGGGAAAACGACTGTGGGAAGGGGACTAGAGGGAGTAGCATGATGTCACGTCACATCACGCCTGCGGCACGGGCTACCCAACCGCTGCGCGTTAGTAAATCCGATCACATACTAACCCGATTCGCGCACCTCTGATACACACCTGATCGCTAGCGAGTCGACGAAAACCGGAATAAGCCACGCGGCCGAGGAGGGTGGTCAGGAGCCACGTTTTTTAGTCGACAAAAAACACGGCTGCAGGTGGCTTCAGCAAGTCGACAAAACGCGGAATAAGCCGCGGCTGAGGAGGGTGGTCAGGTGCCACTCGATCCCTACGTCGATCTGCTGCTACTGGTCGGTATTGTGCACGCCAATCTACGGTACTACTATCGAGACTGCGCGACAGCAGCGAAGTGCCGAGAAGTGAACACGATGCAGCAGAAAGTACGGAGAGCGTGGACGTGGGTTACGTAAGCATCAGAAACTATTTTGTCCTGTGCCTAAGTTGAGGATTTATGCTGTGGGAGAGTCGTCTGCCTGTTTTGCTATGCTGAATTATCGTGTTGTAGCGTGTCGCTCCATTTTCCGATCGTACATGACGTACGCGCCCACTATGACGTCCGCGGTATAGGAGGGGATGCTGGAAATGACCGCCACGTGTCGTCCACTAGAAGCTCGGGCATGAAATTTCGAAAGAAAGAGCGCGAAAATCCCCGTCATTGACAGATTCATCAAAACATACAGTAAGAAATCTTCCAACACCACGTCTTTTGATACATTAACCTGGCATTATTATGGGTACCCTAATACGGTATAGAAATAAATACATATGATCATAATTATGGTACTAAGAAAAATAATTATTTCCCATGTGTCAAGATTCTCCCCGCGCATGTGCATGTGCGAGCTTCTGTTCCATCCCACCCACATTCCACTCACGTCCTCACACTAGCAACTCAATCGTTTAGACACAAGCAACATCCCAGTCTATGTTTTCGGACGCCTCGGAAGAAAAAGCGGAATCTCGAGTTTCTGGACGTTCGGTCAGAGACAGCATCTTCAATACCGACACATGTAAGTTCGTACTTATTTCAAGCCCGACCCGCATTTCGCTAGTGGCTTGGTGCTAGTCCTTCGATAGGCGAGGGAGTTTTGGACCCAGAGTTCTCCCTCTATACTCCATCGCGTAGATCCGGCTGCCCCCGGTTAGTAAATTTGCGTCCGGAGGCACGAGTGAGTCGGTTACTGCGGACGTTCAAACACGTCATCATTGCGCCCGACTCACTCACTCGTGCCTCTGAAATCACTACTGAGCATAAAGCCGTTTTAATCCGCTCCCTCTGCCGGTTAAGTTCGTCCGTCCGCGCGGCGCCTCCTTCTGCATCTGCGCGCTCTCGCCCTTCTCTCGTGCCACCGTCGTCTTACATCCCTGTAACGAATCTGCTCTTAAATGTCAGTACTTTTGAGGCGCCTCAAGAATCTGCTCTTAAATGTCACTGCTCCTCCTCGTCCTCCTGTATCCCCCTTTCTCCGCCTCGCTTCGATATTATCAGAATGGCGGCCAATGACGCGCTGCCAGCTGTCCTGGTGGTGAACGACGATGGGATCGAGGCTCCGGGAATCAAGGCGCTCGTGGCGGTGCTCGGCTCGGCTGGCTTCTGCCGCGTCTTCGTGTGCGCGCCCGACGTGTACGTCGCCTTGCTCCATCTATGTCGCCTGAAATGCATGTGGCCATGGGCTCAATGCTTCATTGTACCCCTCTCACTGACTCGCCTGGCTTCTGCCGCGTCTTCGTGTGCGCTCCTGACGTGTACGTCGCCTTGCTGGCTGGCGTGTATGTGACCATGTCTAATGCACCTAACCTAATCCACGATCTGCCTTCACCATAAGGCCATTCACCTGCCATTCAAGCGCCAAGTCACATCGCTGTACGCAGGCGTCACCATGAACCCTGACTGCCTCCCACTCCATAGCCGTCTCCCCTCCCGTCGCGCCGCATCCTCCTTTCCCCTCCCATCCCGTCCCATCCCATGTTCATCACTTCCTCCCTCTCCCCTCCTCCGCATCCAATGGTTCTCCCTGGTTTTCCTTGGGAGGAGTCAGCGTGTGCACTGCACAGTGCAGTTAGTGAATCACCACGCGGGAGACACTCAAGGGCCTGTTGGAGGCCCAGGACTGGCGCACATGAGGCGCTCTCTGATGCCAAGCACTCTATGTTGAGTTTTGAGTCGACTCAAAAATCAAGGGCCTGTTGGAGGTCCAGGAGGGGCGAACATGAGGCGCTCTCTGACACTAAGCACTCAATGCCAACCCGTGTCTTCGCCTTGCCTCTGTGTGCCTCTCTTTGCCCCTCTGTGCCCCACACCAGGGAGAGGTCAGCGTGTGCACAGTCCATCAGCATCTGGGTGACACTTGAGCTAACCTGGTGGAGGAGTATGAGAGGCATGTTTTGAGTTCAATCATTCAATGCCAACCCGTGTCTTCACCGTGCCCCTCTGTACCCGACTGTACCCATCTGTGCCTTTCTGTGCCTATCTGTCCGCCTCTGTGCACCTCTGTGCCCGTCTGTGCCCCCCTGTGCCCCTCTGTTCCCCGTCTTTCCCCATGCTGCGCCGTACCCTCATGGGCGCGCCAGGGAGAGCTCAGCATGTGTGCAGTCCATCACCATCTGGGAGACGCTCGAGGCGAACCTGGTGGAGGAATATGAGGGGCACATTTCGAATAAAACCCTTGTCTTCACCGTGCCGCTCTGTACCTGTCTGTACCCATCTGTGCCCCTTCGTGCCCCTTTGTGCCCCGTGTCAGGGAGAGGTCAGCGTGTGTGCAGGCCATCACTATCCGCGAGACGCTCGAGGCCAGCCTGGTGGAGGACTATGAGGGGTACATTTGGAATAAAACCCTTGTCTTCACCGTGCCGCTCTGTACCTGTCTGTACCCATCTGTGCCTTCTTGTGCCCCTTTGTGTCCCTTTGCGCCGTGTGTCAGGGGGAAGTCAGCATGTGCGCAGCCCATCACCATCTGGGAGACACTCGAGGCCAGCCTGGTGGAGGACTATGAGGGCCCACGTGGAAGCTGAGCACTCTATGCCAAGCCGTGTCTTCGCCTTGACCCTTTGTGCCCCTCTGTGCCCCTCTGTACCCCTCTTTGGCCGTCTGTGCCCCACGCCAGGGAGAAGTCAGCGTGTGCGCAGGCCATCACCATCCGGGAGACACTTGAGGCGAATCTGGTGGAGGACTATGAAGGGGCTGCTGTCGCCTACTCGCTCACAGGTGCGTTTTGAGTCGACTCAAAAGCCGCCACACCGCAGGCCATCACCATCCGGGAGACACTTGATGCGAATCTGGTGGAGGACTATGAAGGGGCTGCTGTCGCCTACTCGCTCACAGGTGCGTTTTGAGTCGACTCAAAAGCCGCCACACCGCAGGCCATCACCATCCGGGAGACACTTGAGGCGAATCTGGTGGCGGACTATGAGGGCGCTGCTGTCGCCTACTCGCTCACAGGTGCGTTTTGAGTCGACTCAAAAGCCGCCACACCGCAGGCCATCACCATCCGGGAGACACTTGAGGCGAATCTGGTGGCGGACTATGAGGGCGCTGCTGTCGCCTACTCGCTCACAGGTGCGTTTTGAGTCGACTCAAAAGCCGCCACACCGCAGGCCATCACCATCCGGGAGACACTTGAGGCGAATCTGGTGGCGGACTATGAGGGCGCTGCTGTCGCCTGTACCATACTCACTCTTGCTGTCTCTGTGCTTTTCCTCTCCTACTCCTCACTGGAACACCAACACATCTCGTGCATCCACTGACTGCATTCCAAGTCATTCCACATCTTTGGGAGTTCATCTGGAAACTGCCTCACACCGAAATCGTTCGCATTCGTTCCTTGCTTCCCGCCCTGCGTGCTCCTAATCCCCAACAAACACAGCGACGAAACTGAGTCCATAAACCCTCAGGTTACTTGCTGAGTTGACTCAAAAGACAAGACGATCAGAATCTTTTCCTTTTACTCCCCCCTGGCTCCCAATTTTAACAGGCACACCAGCAGACTGTGCACAGGCTGTGCATCTATGGGCCTCTCAGTTGACTTGTGAGATGACTCAAAAGCGAATTCAGAATCTTTCCCTGTTCTCCCCACCTCCCTCCCCTCCCCCTGCCCCCGATCCCCACAGGCACACCGGCAGACTGTGCGTCGATGGGCCTCTCAGGCCAGCTCTTCAAGGGCATCAAGCCCCACCTGGTATGGAGTGGTTCAAAGCGATGTAGCGCGACTCGTATGGTCAAAACGCAGACAAAGCGAAGACATTAGTTTCAAGCAAGGTCCAATGTCCTAGCTGTGTGCTTCCTGCTGTTGCCTCACGTATCTCCTGAGATGCCATTTCCCCCCCAAAAGAGTCACTCTCGTATCTGTCAAAGTCACTCTGTTTTGAATCTTGTTCTTGTGTTGTACGCACTTGTCTCTCCTAGTGCATTTTTCTCTTCTCCTGATCCTTGTCTCTTTTGATCCTTTTCTTCTGTCTCGTGGATGTGGATGCTGTATGGTGATGGTGGATGTGGATGCTGTATGGTGATGGTGGATGTGGATGCTGTATGGTGATGGTGTGTGTGAGATCAGGTCATCAGTGGCATCAACAAGGGTGCAAACACAGGACGCCAAGTGTGAGTGACAGTGGCATTACAAATCCAGGAATGTCTCTGTCTACCACTGTGCTGTGCATGCTGTGGATTCCGTGTTTTCTTTCCTCCTTCACGGTCACCTTCGTGTTTCCTAACTAAGCCCCCACACCACACCCTCGTTTCTTCCTCAGCACGCTGCCATGGCATCCGCCCATTCCATTCGCCTTCCCTTCCCAACCCCGTTGTTAGAAATCTCCCCAGCATCTATTGTGGTGTGGTCCAGACTGCAGTAAAAGCAAGAGAATAATTGATTCAGGGTGCGCTAGTCCCCCCATCTGCTTGATACGTCGACTTTTGGGTCGACTCATGAATCGACTTATCACACACATGGGTGCCCTAGTCTCCCAGTCTGATCCTTCTTTTGCTTGCACGGTTGCCTTCCACGCCTTCTCGCATCTGTTTCGGGAAGGTAGCAGAACGGATTGAGGGTATTCCAAGCCAAGCCCCGTATATTCTCCTGCTGTGCTTACATTGTCTCTTCCACGTATTCACCATCCTTCTTCCCCCATCGACCTGCTCTACCCGCAGCATCTATTCCAGGAACGAATCAGGGGCACTTCAATCCAAACCCTGTACCTGTTCCTGCTGAGATTACCTGGTCCCTTGCCACACGTCAACCTTGCCTACCCCTATAATCAAACTGCCCTGCTCGCAGCATCAATTCTGGGACAATAGGCCACTATCCAGGGCGCTCAATCTCCCTATCCGCTCCTCTTGTGCTTATCTGGCCCCACTGCACACGTTGTACCGTCCCTAACCCTCCTATGGAACCGCCCTGCCAACAGCATCTATTCCGGCACGGTGGCGGGCGCAAGGGAGGCCGTCATTCAGGGCGCACCAGGCATCTCCATCTCCCTTGACTGGTCCGTGCCGTTGTCTTCTTCCAATGCTTGCATGCGTATCTCATTCCTCTCCATGCTGCTTTCATGTTGCATGGGACGGGACCAACCAACCACGCGTTTCGCCCCCTTGCTATGACAAAGTGATTGTGACTATAGTGACTGATCACCTTTTGTCCCTTTATACTGCGCCCACCCACCCCTCCCATCCTTTCTTCCTTTCCCACCCCCTCGCTCTCGATCAGGAACTGCCTGCATTAAACACTCACACTCTTCGTTGGTTCCACCTTCCATCCCATCCCATCCCATCCCATCCCATCCCATCCCACCCATCCCATCCCATCCCATCCCATCCCACCCATCCCATCCCATCCCATCCCATCCCATCCCATCCCATCCCATCCCACCCATCCCATCCCATCCCATCCCATCCCATCCCATCCCATCCCATCCCATCCCATCCCATCCCATCCCATCCCATCCCATCCCATCCCATCCCATCCCATCCCGTCCCGTCCCATCCCATCCCGTCCCATCACATCTACTCCACCATACCATTCCTTCACATGCCTTTGGGCACACACTCACCAGGGCCGCTGCAAGCACTGACGCCCACTTTTCTCCCGCCGCTGCCACGTGTCTGCCTCTCATTCGCTGCGTTCTCGAGGCAGCAACTGCTGGTCAGCTATCCAGCAGCGGGGGAGACCCGCTGCTGCTGAACGTGAACATGCCCGTTGACCCGGTCAAGTCCAAGGTATGCTCTTCTGCCACCCGTACATGGTATAGAATGCTATTTTCATGCCATACTGGTAGCAGCAGCAGCATGGACCCTCTGCTTCTCAATGTGAACGTGCCTCTTGACCCTGTCAAGTCTAAGGTGTGTGCTGCCATCGTGGTATGGTAACATAAACCACAGTGGCATTTATTCTGGCATGCTATGGAATGCTGTTCTGGTAGCAGCATGGACCCTCTACTGCTCAACGTGAACGTGCCTCTTGACCCTGTCAATTGCAAGGTGCGTTGCTTACTCAACCAGACTGACATATTCTGGCATGCTATGGCGTGCCATTCTGGTCACAGCAGCGGGGGGGATCCTCTGCTGCTGAACGTGAACGTGCCTCTCGACCTGGTCAAGTCCAAGGTTCGTTACATATTCTCGCAAGTGTGGTACAGTAACATCACTGAAAGCAATAAATTCTGCTGCGCTATGGGATACTATTCTGGTAACAGCAGGGTCCCTCTGCTGCTCAACGTGAACGTGCCTCTTGACGGGTGAAGAACAAGGTGTGTGTGTGCTGCCCATCCGCCACGCACTTGTGGTTACAGCAATCAAAGTGGCATATTCTGGTCTAGTATTCCATGGCATTCTAGTAACACTCTGCCGCTCACTTGCTTTTTGACCCTGTCAAGACCAAGGTACATCTTGCGCCAGTCTCATTGGTTTTACGACCCTTTCTTTAGCCCCTTGGCTGCTGCTGCTCTGCTTGATGTTCATAAGCCACTCCCTCTCCGTCGATTCGTTCGTTCGCAACAGGGATGCAAAGCTGATCCTTCTCTGATTCCCCTTTCACCCCGTCTCTCTCATCCCCGGCAGGGCTTCAACCTCGCCCGGCCCAGCAAGGCCGTGCGAGGGTGGCCTTCCCCTCAACGCGCATCGCCGCCAAGAAACAAACAAACCACCCAGCAACCAAGGTGTACTGCTGGCGTGAAAGTGGCTCTAACCTCATTCCCCTTTTCAACCCTCATTCCCCGGCAGGGCTTCAAGCTGGCCCAGCAGGGCCATGCAAGGGTCGCCTTCCCTTGGACGCACATCGCTAAGAAGCGCACCGGGGTGCAGCTGGCAGGCATGCATGGTGGAGCGGCGGCTGGGGGAAGGGGGCTTCCGGGGATGATGGGGGGCAGGGGACTGCCAGGAATGATGGGAGGGAGGGGTCTCCCGGGCATGGTGGGAGGGAGGGGGCTGCCGGGCATGACTGGACCTGCACCAGTCTCTCTGGCTGAACTTGGATCGGTTGCCTCTGCTGCTGTGAGTGCTCTCCTTGACTGCTGGGGATGATGGGGGGCAGGGGACTGCCGGGCATGATGGGAGGGAGGGGGCTGCCGGGGATGGTGGCAGGGAGGGGCCTCCCAGGCATGACTGGCCCCCCCGTGGTGTTGCTGGCTGAAATCAGAAGGGTGGCCTCTGCTGCTGTGAGTGCTCTCCTTGACTGCTGGGGATGATGGAGGGCAGGGGACTGCCGGGCATGATGGGAGGGAGGGGGCTGCCGGGGATGGTGGCAGGGAGGGGCCTCCCAGGCATGACTGGCCCCCCCGCGGTGTTGCTGGCTGAAATCAGAACGGTGGCCTCTGCTGCTGTGAGTGCTCGTCTGAGTCCTTACGACGTGACTTGTGAGTCGACTCAAAAGGCCTCCGGGGAATGACTGGGCCTGCGCCGGTCTCTCTGGCTGAAATCGGAACGGTTGCCTCTGCTGCTGTGAGTGCTTGTCTGTGTATTTTACGAGACCACTCATACTCGTGGCTGTGCAGATGAGTGTTTGACTCCCTGGCATGATGGGGGGAAGGGGATTGCCGGGGATGGTGGGAGGGAGGGGCCTCCCGGGAATGACTGGGCCTGACCCAGTGTCACTGGCTGAAATCGGAACGGTTGCCTCTGCTCTGCTGCTGTGAGTGCTCGTTCGAGTCCTTGACCAGACCATCATTTGTCTCTTGTGGGTTGGCTGTGTGAATGAGTCTTTGACGAGACCACGAGATAATAATTTCTCGTATATAGTCTCATCTTGTTTTTTTCCCCAGCATCACCATGCCGCCGCCATATACTGCACATTTTTTTCTTTTGTGGCATAGGCTGTCCAAACGGGTGCCGTGCCACACTCTCATGGACCACGCTCTCATGGACCACGCTCTTCCTCCCTCTGACAGGGAGCAGCGCGGTTCACCCCTCTCGTCCCCTCTTCACACACCTCTCTTACCGCCCACAGGGGGCAGCGAGGTCCAAGACTCCTGACCGTCCACACGCCGTCACTGAGACCTCAATAGTTTTATCATGCCCTACCTCTCAATTGTTTCGCGACGTCTCAACACCAATCTTTTGTCACGGACCAAGACTCCCATTTACCTCAATAGTCTCAACCACACGCCCGCCCTCTCTCTTCCCCCCCACAGGGCGCAGCGCGGTCCAAGACTCCTGGCGAGGAGAGCAAGGAGGATAGACGGCGGGGACGAGCCGTGGCAGCCGCTGCATAAGATGCACTTCCGGCACGAGGTGAGGTGCAGTTGACCATTGTTGACTGCCTTTGACCGTCGTTGATCAGTGACACAAGGCAGCCGCTGCATAAGATGCACTTCAGGCATGAGGTGAGGTGCAGTTGACCATTGTTGACTGCCTTTGACCGTCGTTGATCAGTGACACAAGGCAGCCGCTGCATAAGATGCACTTCAGGCATGAGGTGAGGTGCAGTTGACCATTGTTGACTGCCTTTGACCGCCGTTGATCAGTGACACAAGGCAGCCGCTGCATAAGATGCACTTCAGGCATGAGGTGAGGTGCAGTTGACCATTGTTGACTGCCTTTGACCGTCGTTGATCAGTGACACAAGGCAGCCGCTGCATAAGATGCACTTCAGGCATGAGGTGAGGTGCAGTTGACCATTGTTGACTGCCTTTGACCGCCGTTGATCAGTGACACAAGGCAGCCGCTGCATAAGATGCACTTCAGGCATGAGGTGAGGTGCAGTTGACCATTGTTGACTGCCTTTGACCGTCGTTGATCAGTGACACAAGGCAGCCGCTGCATAAGATGCACTTCAGGCATGAGGTGAGGTGCAGCTGACCATTGTTGACTGCCTTTGACCGTCGTTGATCAGTGACACAATGCAGCCACTTAGGTATGATCAAACGGCCCGACCCGATCCGACCCGACTTGGGCGGGCCAGCCGGGTTCCGGGTCGGGTCGGGTCGGGTCGGAACATCAAAGATCTCTGGCCCGACCCGGGTATCGGGTGCCGGGTCAGGCTTGACCCGGCCCCGGGTCAGGTCGGGTCGGAGCCGGGTCGGGTCGGGTCGAGCCGACTCCCATAGGCAGGGTTAGAGGTCCTCTTTAACACTTTGCAGTGTTACATTTATTGAAAGTATGTTATATTATTTTATGCAACTTCCTCCCTTGCGTAAATAAACTACTCAATGTTGCTTACTGTGCTACGTGTTTCGCGCGACTGCTATCCTGCCCTCCTTCCATTCTCGCTTCCGTAAAACTACCTAAACGGATTCCGCGCGGGACCTTGGCGAATGACGTTTCCCAAAGCCTTCAGCAGGGGCGCGGCTCTAGCGATGTGCGCCTTCGCGGCGCGCCGAGATGCACTAAAACGCGGGCCTGCAATGCGTTGGGCTTCATATTATTACGCCAATGTTGCTTGTTGGGTGGCTGCTGGCGTCACTAGCTAGGTAACTTAACTTAATCCAGATCGAAATGCTAGTCGCTGGGAAAAATAGCATGTGCGATTACGATCAGGATGAAATTGTCGAGAGGAAACCCTCGGTTCGGGCCAGGTACCCAAAACCCGACCCGACCCGACCCGACCCGGAATCGGGCCACGAGTCAACCCGACTCGGCCGGGTATACCCGACCCGACCCGGCCGGGTCAGCGGTTCAGAACTCCTGACCCGACCCGGATCAAAACCCGGGTCGGGTCGGGTCGACCTGACCCGCCGGGGCGGGATGCTCATGCCTACAGCCACTGCATGCACTTCATTCACGAGATGAGGTGCAGTTGACCATCGTTGACCATTGTTGACGCGAGGCAACTACTGCATTAGATGCACCTCCGGCACGACGTGACTTGCACATGAGACCAGGAGGATGCTTTTGAGTCGAGTCAAAAGCCAGACACGATATGAGCTGCCTGCATGTGGCATCACGAGGATGGGGATCAAGTGGGTGGGACTCGCCGGTTACTCCAAGAATTTTGCCCTCCTTTTGGCTGCTCTATTCCTTGCACTGCTGCCCTGCCGGCCTTTCACGTAGCCTCGTTGTGAAACCCTCAGGCATGAGGTGATCTCTACATGAGACCATGATGACGCTATTTTTTGAGTCGACTGAAAAGTCACACACGATATGAGCTGCGTGCATGTGGCATCACGAGGATGGGGATCAAGTGGGTGGGACTCGATAGTCAAGCCAAGGACCATGCCTTAGTTCGGCTGCTCTATTCCTTGCACTGCTGCGCTGCCAGCCTTCTCATGCCGCCGCTGTCAAAAGCCCCAGGCAAGAGGTGGAGTGCATGAGAGGCAAGTAGCACGTCAAGTCATGTTGCTTGTTTACTTGTTGCATGTGCAGTACATGTATCGTCAAGGTGGCTAGTAGGGGTGTCGCATCCCAGTGGTTGATACACAGCTGAGTGAGTGGGACTCGCTGTTCAAGCCAAGGGCCCTGCCTTTCTCTCTACTGCTCCATCGCTTGCACTTCCGCTCTGCCAGTCTTTCATGCAGACTTACTGTCAAAGAACCCTCTCACGCTTACGCACCCCTCTCTCCCCCTCGCACCCCTCTCTCCCCCTCGCACCCCTCTCTCCCTAAATCCCCCTCATTAGTCGCATCCCTAAATCCCCCTCATCAGTCGCATCCCTAAATCCCCCTCATCAGTCGCATCCCTAAATCCCCCTCATCAGTCGCATCCCTAAATCCCCCTCATCAGTCGCATCCCTAAATCCCCCTCATCAGTCACATCCCTAAATCCCCCTCATCAGTCACATCCCTAAATCCCCCTCATCAGTCACATCCCTAAATCCCCCTCATCAGTCACATCCCTAAATCCCCCTCGCAGCCGAGTGGGTGGGACGAGCTTGAAAAGGACCCGCCTTGGACTCCGCTGCTCTGCCAGCCTTTCACATGAACCCCAGCCTTTACTGTCAAAGAACCTCAATAGTTTCATCCCTCTCACCCCCTCGCACCCCTCTCAACAACCCCCCGTACCTCTCTCACTCCCCCCGTACCTCTCTCTCTCTCTCCCTCCCAGCCGAGTGGGTGGGACGTGCTTGACAAGGACCCTGCGTTTGACTCCGCTGCTCTCGCACTCGGCTATGTGAGTTGTGATGGGTGTGTGAGTGGTGATGGGTGTGAGAGTTGTGATGGGGGTGTGAGTGGTGATGGGTGTGTGAGTGGTGATGGGTATGCATTTTGAGTAGACTCAAAATGCACGCGCCTCATTCCTCTTGCTTCTACCGTGCCACCCATAGTGCAGCTGACACTCACTCACTCCTATCACTCACTCACTCCTATCACTCACTCACTCCTATCATCATCACTGCATCCATCAACAATAACTCAAATCCCACCTGCACCCTCTATCCTCTGTCTTCACTTCACACTCATCCTTCCTTGCTCTTTCGTCTACTGTGCCACCCATGGTGCAGGTGACAGTCACGCCGCTCGCCGTCACCGCTTCCATCGACATCCACCCACGCCTCAAGGAGGACCTGGCGTGGCTCGCACCGCTGCTGCCGCACGATGCCTGATGTGCACCTTATGTCCGCAATCACTACCCTACCCTCGCCATCACTGCTTCCATTGGCATGGCATCCATCTCCGGCTAGGAGGACCTTGCATGGCTCGCTCGCACCGCTGCTGCCGCACAATGCCTGACCAGCCCCTTGATTTACTGTCCCCGAGCTTTCTTTATTTGATCACCTGAGCTGTTGGACCAGAACACAACTCAGTTCTGTAATATAAATCATTTATCTCAGGGCGTGTTATATTGGGTTCATTTTTGCTCCATACCCTACCCAATCATGTAGAAGTTAAAACAAGCCGCTCTAAAAAGCACAAAAGTTTACTCAATAGCGATACATGAGTAACATAAACGTTTTAAAGCTCCGGTATAGATTTGAAAGGAGGGGTTCAAAATCCTTAGGAACTTGAATAATTGCCTTAAAAGTATACATTGGCAAATCCTAAGAAATTTAAATAGATATAAAAATAAATCAATGATAACGCGACTCCATGGCCCAATGGATAAGGCGCTGGTCTACGGAACCAGAGATTCTGGGTTCGATCCCCAGTGGAGTCGATACAGTGACAGGTCTACTCAAATTGGTAAAGATAGGTTTGCCCCTTTTATACCTTCTTCTAACACGCGGTTGAGCACGTTTGTGTACAATACAATGTAAAGCGGCTCATTTTCTTCACCTCTTTGAATCGTTGCACGTCGGCCCGAACAGTGTGACACGGACTGTAAACAAAGGAAGTTTGTAAACACGTCGACCCTAATCCCTAACATGTCATGCGATCCATCCCCCCCAAACGAATACCAGTGCTTCGCATAGGTCCCACAAAACAGGATTCATGCTTCGGCGTCAATTTACCCTTGACGGAAAATTCCTTCTCCTTAGTTCGAACCCATGCTTACCGCGTATATGAATGATCCCGCCAACAAAACATTACCACTCGCAACACTCGCCTCGACTACTATTTCTGCTACTATTCACATCGCAACCCAACCTCACGCGGCTCGACTGGTAACTCGTGCCCCGGTCCTCTGCCTTGACACTTCCCAGCCTCGGCGCCAGGCCCGTCGCGCACCCCACAATCACGCTAGTTCGTTTATAACATTTGCTGATATAACCGAAGGATCAAGTGAATAGGATAAGTCTGCTAAGTTCAGAAGGAGACAATGAAGTCTCTGTAGTGACCTTGTTAGATAATGGTTGAAAGAGAACAAGATGGTTAAGCGATAGAAGTACAAGGGATTAAATAGCAACCTAGCTAGCCATGTAATCTGAGGGGTACATTCCCTTATTAACTGTATTGCATAACTACAGTAACCACGACTATTGCCATTCTCGACAGTTACCATGTTGCAGCGAACAACTGTCGCGCGGTTACTGGCCGGTCAAGAGTCGCGACCGTTGACTACCATTGGCGGTTGACCTTCGGGTGACTCTCGATCTTCCGCTAGCTCCATTGCGGTACTAGTACAGTGCCCGGTTCTGCTAACAGCTGATGCATTAGTGGGATGCCTTCGGGAATGCTTAAGATAACCTTTCGGTTATTCCAACACTCCCCTTCATTCCTGAAGGTGGGCCACGTGGGATTTCTTGGTGATCCCGCAGAGGTTGGCACAATGTTGAAACTGCTGGTGTGGCAATTTCTTTGTCAGGAAATCAGCTGCCATGTCTCCGGTTGGGCAATACGTGAGTTTGACTCTCCCCTTGTCGATTTCGTCCTTGACGAAGAAGTAGCGAAGTGCGATGTGCTTCGTGCGGTTTACGAAACCGGGTTTGTTCGCGATCTTGAACGCGCTCTGCTTGTCGCAGAGTAACGTAAAGTGCCCGTTCATCGTCAGTTTCGCTTCTTGCAGGAGCTCCATTAGATACAGTCCTTTGCGAACAGCTGTACTGGCGGCGATAAACTCAGCTTCTGCTGACGAAAGAGCGATGAGTTCTTGCTTCTGAGAGATCTAGGAGATGAGTCCAGCAGGTTGGATTTGGAAGACGTATCCTGTGCGGGAGCGCCTGTTGTCAACATCCCCTGCGTGGTCAGCGTCTACGTAGCCATGAAGCCGCAGAGTAGCGGTGAGGTTAGCTTCGTAGGTGAGGCCGACGTCAGGAGTTGAGATGAGGTACTTTAGTGCTTGGCGTAGATCCAGTAGATTCTCCCCTTCAGGTCGCTTCAGGTACTGTGCGAGCTGGCTTGCGACGTAGGAGAGATCGGGCCGGCACGTGACGGCGGCAAACAGGAGACATCCCAGCTGCTGTTGGTAGAGCCGATGATCGTCGATGGAGAGGGGTGTGGTGTCTGGTTCATGATTGGGAGGAGGGGTGCGGTAGGGAGTGGTGAGGTTGATTGGTGCGATGGCGAACCGCTTCGCGAGTGTTTTAGCGTACTTAGCAGCGGAAAGGTGAATGGAGGAGGCGGACTGAGTGATGTTAAGTCCCAGGAATTGTGTGACGTTGTGGTTGATCGTCACTTCGAGCTTCTCCTTGATATCAGCTTCGAACTGGTCGAGCAGCTCCGTGTCGTTGCCAGTGTAGAGGAGATCGTCCACGTAGGCGACGAGGAGAATGAATTTGCCGCGCGATTCCCGACGGTACATTCCGAGGTCATGTGGTAGCTGGATGAAACCGAGTTCAAGAAGAATCGAGTGGAGATCCTGTTGCCACAGACGAGGGGCCTGCTTAATCCCGTAAAGGGATTTCTGAAGGAGACACACGGTGCCATCGTTCTCCTCGAAGGCATGTGGCTGCTCGACGAAGATTATGGCGTCAACAGGGGCGTAAAGGAAAGCGCTGCCGACGTCAATTTGGCGGAGCGGACGCTGCTTGACGGTTGCGATGCAGAGGAGGATGCGCACCGAGGTGTGGCGTCCTACAGGTGCGTATGTGAGGGTGATGTCCACCAGGTGCGTTTGTTCGAAGCCGCGCACCACCCACCGCGCCTTGTATTTATCAATGGAGCCGTCAGCCAGGGTTTTGATGCGGAAGACCCACTTGCCGCTGAGAATTTTCCTCCCCTTTGCCGATGACCGTGGGACCAGCTTCCAGGTGCCGCGCCTTTTTAGCGATGCGACTTCTGCGGCCATGGCTGCTCTCCACTTCTCGCTGTCTGGGCCAGACAGAGCTTGGCGAACAGTTGTTGGTTCCTTGGGAGAATCGTGGCGAACAGCGACGGCGAGACCGAGAACGCGGAGGCCGGTTTCGTTGGTCTTTTCGTAGTGGAGGCGATCGTAGTCGTGGAAGCTGGTAACTTCAACTACGTCGTCGTCACTTTCGTTGCCGAGGCGGAGGGTGTCTTGCGAGGGTTGGGCTGTGGTAACTCTGCATCCGAGGATAGTCGTGCCTCACTGGTGTAGTTGTGAGCTTCGCAAGTTGTATCATCCGGATCGAACTGGTGTACAGGGATGAAGATTGGAGTTTGGAGCGGGCTCGTAAGGGGGATGCTGGGTGTTGTATCCATCGGAGTGACATCTGTTGCGTCTGCATCTTCCGCCAGGTCAGCTTCGTCGTGTGACGTGGCGAAGCTGCAATGTCCTTCGAAGACTCTCTCTGGCGCCTTGTCAGCTTCCCGGTGCTTTTTGAACAGTGGCAAGGTCAGCTTCTCGTAGAAGATGCAGTCACGTGATTTCGTCACTTCGTGTGTCGCGTAGTCCAGCACGATCCACGCCTTGTATTCCTTTTCGATTCCGAGGTGGATGCCCCATCGTGCCCGGTCAAAAAACTTTCCGGTCCTTGCAGTGTGGGGTCTGTACTGTACCATGCAGCCGAACACCCGAAGCAGACGCGTGTCCGCTTTTCTGCCCGTCCATGCCCTGTAAGGAGAATTGTTGTTCTCGAGGCTTCGGGAGGACAGCAAGTTGTGCAGCCGAACAGCGTGATTCATCGCAAACGGCCAATATTTGGTTGGGATGGCCGACTGCTTCATCAGGGCCCTCATCCGTGTAGCGAGGCTTCTGTTTGTCCGTTCTGCTACTCCTTGTTGCTCGTGAGCGTAGGGCAGGGACACCAGGTGCTCAATCCCCTTCTGCTTGAAGAGTTCCTTGAACTCCGCTGAGAAAAACTCCAATCCCCCGTCTGTTTGGTAGCTCTTCAGCTTCAGCTCGGATTGACGCTCAGCCCGCTTCATCCACGCCACGAAGCACTCGAAGGCAAGAGAACGACAGTCGGTGTTGATGGCCTAGACGTAACGCGTGCATGCGTTGATGAAAATAAGCGTGTAGTGTTCACCGTCGAGCCCTTCGTGGCTGAGGATCATGAAGTCGCTATAGACCTTGTCCAGCGGCTTGTACCGTTTGTATCCCGGAGGTAAGTCGGGAAACGGCCTGTGGGTGAGTGACGCTGTCGGGCAGACGGAGCACGGTGGGTCAGCTGAATCCGGGGTGAGAGAACCGTTTCGAGGCAGGAGGAGTGCGTCGTCGTCGAAGACACCAACCTTGAGTGAGTTCCTGAGTGTAGCGTGTGAGGGGTGTCCAAGACGCTGGTGACAGGTTTCAAGATCCGCACGATAGCCGACAGTCGTTCGGTAATATTTGTGCCGCGCCGATGCATCGTCCTGCTCCTTTCCAGGTCCCGTGTCAGCGGCAGCGTCGGTGTCAGTTGCAAATGCCCGAACAGAGTTTTGCTCCAGGATGGCGAGCGGAATTCCGATGATGTCGTTAGTGTCAGCAGCATCAACCGGCTTGCCCGTGACGAGCAGATGCGTTGACGGTGGCGGCTTCGGTCTTGGCCAATCGTGGGCGGAGAGTCCCGTCATTAGAATCCGAAAGTAACTGTACTCAACACCAATGACTTCAATGTCGTGTGGTCCTTGCTCCGGTGATAGTGGTTTCTCCGTAGGTTCCGGTAATTCCGTTGTTTCTCCCAAAAACTCTTAAGTTACTTCTTCTGACTTCTCTGCTGTTGGCTATGGTGTGTCAGGAGCGTATTGATCAGGAAGAGGGGGACCTCCCCATCTGGTACCACGAGTTGCCCAGTATGGGTCGACTGCCGCTACTTCCGTGGGAGGAAGTCCCGTAGCTTCATCG